GATGTCTTGTAGAGATTTGCAAGAATTTTTAGTGCTGGGACTTAACCCATCTACAGACAAGCAAGCAATCCTACAAATCATCCAGCAACTGTTAAATTACTCCATTCTTAGTTAATGCATAATGACAATGAAGATTGAAATGTTGTCATGAAGACCTAGGTTGTGTACTTACAAAGAACCAATGAATTCTCCTATGTCAAGAGTTAACGTGTCTATAAGAGATTCATGATTGTACAAAGTACTTTAGTTTTGTTAGATGAATTCAATCATTCAATAAGCAATGGAAAGATAAATAATTAAGCATAAATGAAATGCACAAATATAACTTTTGAACAATAATATACATGTACATCACCTCTTACTAAAGAGTGAATGAGAAACTATTCACTCTTCATGGCTTTGAGAAAGCTAGAAAAGTTAGTGATTTTCATCCCTCCAAGTAGAGGAACTTTTAATTAAAAGTTAACGTTTACCAAAACAATAAGCTTATCTCTGACAAAGAATGAGTGAAACACTACCCACCCTTCAAAGCTATAAGGAAGCTAGAAAGGAGAGAGAGGTTCAATCCTCTAAGTGAAGAAAGAGGTTTTACAATGGAAGCTAATGAAACTAATGATAAAAGTAGAAGAAAATTAGTTACTTTTGGAGGGTTTTTCCACTTCCAAATATATATTTCAACAAGTTCCAAGGGATGGTATTTATAGACAAAAGAGGGAGATAAATGACAGACCTAGGTGCTTAAAGTCCAAGCCTATGCCACAAAACTTGGGTGAAATTCTAAACTGCCTACATTCTATTTGGGATTTAAGTTTGAAAGGTACTTGGCGTTCAAACTTCAAAGCATTTCTTCTTTGAAGTGTGTTCAAATGTTGTTGGAGTTCGAACATGGTTGCTAATGTAGCTTTGTCATCCACAGTAACTAGCCTCGTGTCATTTCCCTAGCAGCCTCTTGGAGATTTGGAATGATTTCAATGTGGCATTCGAATGTGAAAGTGGAGTTCAAACGTGGAAGCAAAGTCTACTTTGTCATACAATTTGTTCCCTCCTTCTTGAGTTCCCTTTTAAAACACATGTGTGCTACTTGAAAGAGTGACATTATTGCCTTTAAACCCTTGTACTTTCTTATAAAGGCATAATAAGATGTAACTTTTAAACTATGCATCATGGACGCCCCTCACTTGGGCCCTTGTTGACGAAGAAGCTAAGATGTGACTTTGAATTACATTTTGTAAATAAATTGTGTAATTCATTTTGAACTTGTAAATTGGTGTAAAGAGTTTTGAAATGGACTCTCATGGAATATAATTTGTGTTAATGAATGTATGGATGTGTTTGCAAAGAGATTGGATGGCTAAAGATTGAAAATTTGAAAGAATTGGAGAAAATCTGGACCCAAGTACCAGTACCTAAGTGATTAAGTACCATACCACATTGTTGGATAGGCCAGATACTGGTACCTCAACATACGGGTGTCAGTATTTGAATTTCAGTGGGCTTAGGTCCCGGTATTACGATATGTAGGTACTGGTACCTAGCAAACAATGGGCTTAAGTACCCGTTTTCTGTCACCTAGGTACTGGTACTTAGCTACTAGAAGGAACTGGGAAAATAAAGGTTCATGTACCGTTACCCCATTACTCAAGTACTGATTAGCGCAAAAAATTGCATATTTTATGTGCATCTACAGTCCTGTTACAGTTAATTTTGTGGTTAAAATGAGTGGAATAGCACTTTTCAAACATTTAATGGAGTTTTGATATGTTTACAGAAAAAAAGGGTTCAAATGGTGCCTTTTAGGCCTTATCATGATGCTTGAATTGATTGGAGATGAAGTGGAGGTTTGATGTTTACTTGAAAGGTGGAGAAACCAAGATTTTTGCAAAACAAGGAAAAACCTGCCGGTTTGATGTTTACTAGACCTGCACTTACTGATAGGTTTTGCTGACTGGAGTGAAACCTACCGGTAGGTTTTCATCAACCTACTAGTAGGTTTTGCTGAAATAGCTTAGATTTTGCATCTAAAGCTTTGCAACTTTAGGGGTCCCACCAAACACTCTCCCACTTGTCCCTGACATGCCTTACACACAGAACATCCCCTCATACACTCATGCTTTGACTTTTGGAGCTTCGGACATTAATGATGTGAGAGGAGAAAGAAGATGCTGGGTGTGCAGGTTATGCGTGCACTAGCCTATCCAACCCATCCCTTTCAGCCCCCCCTATTGATTGGAATCACATCACACAGCTAGAGGAGGGCTCCCTGAACGTTTTTGGCAAGCTCCTTCACCATTATTCAGCATTAGAGAGAGATACATTAGAATATATAGAGAGAGAGAGTCCAAGGAAGAAGATGAATAGTATTAGAGAGAGAAGTTAATATTTTTGCATTTTCTTAAATACATTGTCTTGTAATCTCTTGTAAGGATCTTTTAAGTTTTTGTTTAAAGTCTTCAATGTCATTGAATGCAAGTTCATTTCAAGTTTAGTCTCTCATTCTAGCTTTCACAATTAATGCATTTAAGTTTTAATCTCAAAGCTTTTCAAATGGGTATTAAATACACTTTTATATAGTTTTGTGTTTTCTTACATTAGTTTAAGTTCCAAGCTTCATTTCTTATAATGTCTCTTCATTGTGTTTATGTTCTTACTTGCATTATGAGTAGCTAAGCTTTTAAATTGGCTAATACAAGGGAGACCTCCCCTTGGATGTGTCATTTCAACTCTTTTTCTTTCCTTTTCTCAATGTAAGATGGTTCGGTTTGACTGGGTTGAGTGTGGATGTAATTGTGAGTCTTTGATATCCCATAAACTTGTCACGGGTTATGCTTGGATCCTTACTTCCATCTCGTCCCTCACTTCCCACGAATCAATCGAACATCTATGTACCACTGAAGGAAGATTTCGAGTTAACTTGACATTCCCATTGGAGTGAACCTTTCGAATTAGCCAACATTTGTTTTTCTCATTTAAATACCATCAAGATACAAATCACAACCCTAAAACAACAAAAGATTTTTACACTTTTCTTTTTACCAAAATCACCTTCAACACGATTCACCTCCTTCCTTGAGGAGACGACTTTGAAATACTCATTCCAAGTAAAACACGACACTCGAAAGTCTCTCCACGCTTTGGGGGCACTGTTGTTCACTCATACACACATTTCATTCCACCACTATTCTATTTTCATTCTGGCGGGCTCGAATTGAATTCGGATTACTTAATTTGGGCTGATTTTGGGTTAAAAATCTAGTTTGCTTGGGTTACTTAATTTTGGTTAATTTTTTGAAGTGTAAATTTAATTTTTCAAGCGTATATCTGATTTTTTCAAGTGATCTGAGATGAAAGGCGAGGCGTAGATAAAGAGAGAGAGGAGTAACAAGTGAGAAATGGAGGAGTGATGAGTGAGAGAGGGAGGGAGGCTAAGAAAAGGAATAATGACAAGTGAAAGAGGTCTCTGAGAGTGATGGAGGTGCAAGGGTGAAGAGTTGAAGTGAAGTAAAAGTCTGAACTCTAAAGAGTGAAGATAAATACTAACTCTAGTTAAATATATTTATGTATATTCGGGTTTAACCCGACTTAATAATTTGGGTTCAACCCGATTTTAATATTCGAGTTAAGGCCTCAACCCGAGGCTTGCCCAAATTCAATTCAGGTTGAGATTTTTTTGCCCAAGTCCAACCTAAGTATTAAAAATCCTAATCCAAACCTTATTTTTTTCGAGTTGAACTCGGGTTAAATTCGGGTTGGCCCCGCCCAAGTTGTCACCCCTAACTTATATAAAGGATAATATGCATTTGAGTTACAATTTTTTAGATATCATTTGAATTTTCTAATATCGCTCTTATGATAATAGGATATTTCTTGACAATTAATGCGTTGGAAATTGGAATAATCATGGAAAAGTGAAGTAGAATAAGATAGAGCTTATTGATGATGACAATACTTAGTTTTCAAATAGTAGAAGCAGCTTTGATCTCGCAAAATATAAACATATCTACTTTGTTTTTTTTTTTTGGGATACAAAATAAATAATATCGGGATACTATGAATGTCATTCTTGTATATCTATTGCCAAAGGCTGATTATGCAACTAAGAGAGGCTGTTCTTAGAGAGGCCCTTATTATTATCTTTTTAGTTTAATAGTTAGGTGTATTCAAATCAACTTACACGTATTTCAACTAATCTCTTTCTCAGTTCGTTCAAATGTAGGTTATTCACACCAAGATTAGAGTACCTCATGACCTTGGTTTAAAAGGTTGTCAAGATTCAAACTCAAATCTCTGTTACTACTTGAACTGCTCCTTGGGATTAAAAGACTCTTATTATTAATATATGTGAAGATGTGTTTTTAGTAATTGCTCTTACAAACCCACTTAGGGATACTACTAAAAGTAATAATTAATAAGTGTGAGTACCAAAGACAACATGAAAAGATATACGAGACAATTGTTTCTTTTTGGATGGCTGTCAAAGTGTCATCCCAACAATAAATATTCTTTGAATTTGTGGTTAAAATGTTCACAAGCAGTCCGTGTTTAGTAAACAAAGTCTCATCTATGAGAAACGAACTTGGGTTTTCGGGTTAATAAGTTTTGCAATCTTGCTATATCCAAGCTACTTGAGGAGTTAAATAGAACAAATATTGCTACACAATTCATGAAACAAATACCAACAATCAATTTTAGCCAAATAATTATACTTTACCAACTACTAGTTACTGAATTCTACTTACGGATATGTAAAATTATTTTGAACTATATGGTAGTACAACATGTAATTCTGTAAAAACAAATATATATATATATATATATATATATATATATATATATATATGTAGAGAGAGAGAGAGAGAGGACAAATTTGCAATCCAAATAGTATTACTCAATATTATATGACCAATCGCTAACATTTCATTGGGAAAACAACTACACAATCTCTCTTTATTTTTCAGACAATATGGATAAAAGAAACTTAATGCATATGCATGACATGGCCACTAATATTGAGTACAATCTGCTGGAGCGAAAGAGACTTGCTTTTTTGCAAGGTCGTAGCCCACTTGGAAGTTAATCTGAGCAACGTTACCAAAGATATTGAGATCATTTGAAGGGATGATTGCCAAGCAAGTAATACCATCCAAAACTACGAAGGTATTAATTGTCTTCAAAGTAATGTCAGCTCCAGTAAATTGGAAAAGTATTGGTGTCTCAGGAGCCGTACTGAAGGAAGTTGAATCATAACACAATCTGTAGTTTCCCCGTGGATCTTGTACTGTGTTTAGACTAATGCTTTCTTTCACCGCGGCTTCAAGTTCATTGTAAAAATTTGACTCAAACTAGTCAATGTTGATCCTGAATCAATAATTATATTACCCTCCATCTGATTGTATGGTATCCTGTTGCTCCCTATGCTTACGGCTTCAAGGGTGAGAGAGTAGAAAGTGCTTGAACTCGAGTCCCGTGCTGTGACTTCGTCAAATTTCAATTTACTGGCGGAGTTCGCTGTCCTTGGCAACAAACAGTACGAGAATTTCTGCTCAATTTCAACACTCAATTGAGAAATCAGCGACAGGGGTCCGCCCCCGAGACCGACAAGTCCGGAGCCACGGCTAGTGAAAGTTCCACTATTGTTGTGTCCACATCCAAATACAGAATTTGGAAATGCAGTGGCCCGAGCATTCGTGGAATCAAATGTGAAGGTATCTGTGGATAGGACTCCAATGGTATATGATCTATCTCCATACCTATATCTGTATTGGCATTCATTATTTGTAGTGCCACACTGAGAACTTGGTAGAGCTTGACAAGAACTTGAGTCACAAGGAAGATCCATGTAAGTAGAAGACTTCACCGGATCAAAGATGGGACTATCTTGAGCATAGCAATTGTCACAAGGTGCGCACTGGATCCACACAAGATCACTTCCTGTGTCAGCAACGGCTAGACTTTCAACTGGTGGGTTGCCAATATAGAAATTTTCATGAGATAGCTACCACCATTTGGAATTATCACACTCAATTTTTTCTCCATCAACAGATGATGGACGAAAGTGGTTGATTCGGGCAATAGATCGCAAAGCATCATAGCTTGACAACTCTCCAGGAGTGGCAGAATGATTATAGAACGGAGATAGTTGGGAGTCGTGATGAATTAGTTCAACGCTGAAGCCACTGATTTTAGCTTCAACAATGTATGACATAGGCTGGTGAGAGAAAATTAGTATCATTAGACCAAGGAAATAATCCATGGCTACCATCATATGGGTTCGGATTCATTCTTATAGTGATATAGTAAACCTGTAAGGATGATCGAATGTTAGCATAAAAAAACAGTGTTTGTCTTGTCTTGTAAATGATGGCATGAGAAATTAATTAGGAAAATAAAATTGATAAATTGTCTCACTTTCCTGAATTATGCTAAAAAATAGAAAGGATAAATTTTTTGTCTGTTCGGAAGCCAATTTTTCTTGTTTTTGTGTGTGTAGTCCAATGTGAAAACAGGCTTGCTTTTTGAAATTTCCAACAAAAGACTTTATTAGACTGAAAAGAGAAAACAGCTTTGCCTCTGTCCCTGATTCACGTCACCTATGAACTGTTTCCAGAAGGTTGATTCAGAGAAAAATTCTACTTTGCGTCAATCAAATTCATGTCTAACGAGTTTTTTTTGTTTCGGCGTCGTGACCATTTGATTTTGAGTAATACTATTTACACCTAACAATCAGAAATAATTTGTTGACATAAGGACGTGGTTTCATAAGAATTATTTGATCAACACTAAGTTCTAATATTTGATGAGGTCTAAAGCGAATCCAAATGTCACTGTGAATTAAGTCAAAAAACTATGTTCATAAATTAGATCTCAATAATATTGCTCTTTGATTTTTCCTGTACATGAATATTCGATGTATGATATCTTCTTCCTTTAAACATATTTTAGATAGGGCCATTAGCATAAAACTAGTTTAAACTCACTTGAATTGTAAAATTAACATATCCCTTGGTTTAGTAGTTTTAAGCTCAATTTGTTTCAAATATATAAATAGTAAAGAGACTGGACGAGATTTATTGCCCCTTCCTCATCTATTCCTCTTTTCCAATTCCGTCACTTTGAAATTGGAATCGAGGATGACATTAAATTACATGGTGATGCAAATAATTTTTCTATAAAAATCAAGCAATTGGTAGTTAATTTTGGGGTGTAGGGGGTGGTTACATAGGATGACTTAGAATGATGAGAACGAAAGACTTCTAAAACCTTCTTTCCCAAAATTTGATTCTTGTAACATGTAGATTTTGGTGATAAAAAATGATAAAATAATACTCTCAAATAAATAGATTGAATGTTTCGAGAATTATTTGATGTGTGGTTTTTGAATTTACTCCAGTTTATGCTTGAATTCGAGCACATAGTACATAAATATATTATCAAGTTAGCAAATTGAGCTTGAATATACCAAAATTCGATAGGCTCAATTTGATTAACTCCATAATTTTAGAAGACGTTTTTTTTGCACCCATTGATTCTTTCTATTTTTTTTCCTTCCAATCTTTACCATTTTCGTATTGGTAGAATGTAGAAAGAGTTGGGAATGGTTGGGATAAAAAACTGGCTCATATAAATCTATTAATTGATCAAATTTTGACTCAAACCTTATTAGTCAAATATCGATTGGTACGCATTTTTACTTAACTAGTCGAATCTAAATTTGTGAAATATCATATATACCAACGTTCGATTAATTTCTAATAGAATATAATTTTGAACTAATATGAACAAGTTAGAATTAAGATATAATTGGGAGCTGCTAGACTTGAACTAGTCTCTGTTCTTAGTTCAGTTTTTAAGTCTTTTTTGATTAGAAAAAGGTAATTTCGTCAAAATAAAAAAGAATATTTATTTACTCTGGTACAAAAAATATTTAAATTTATCTTTTTACAAACAATTATATTATATAAAACATACTATTTTCCATGGGGAATAGGAAAATTGGTGGCAAGTGTTCGGTTCTATTGGGCATAATATTTGATCTCCACCAGAAAAAAAAAAATCCATAATTTTGTTTTGGGAAATATGATTTGGATGTTACAAAGACGTGGGATCCAGTATACGTGGTATGGAGAGTGGGAAGGTGGCACAATTGTCCAGAGCGATGCATGTTTCATTGTTTTCCACAAATCTAGCTAGGACTACATTGTTAATAAGTTAAGAAATAACGTTATTGACTTATTAAGAAGACTTTATGATAGGAATCGGATTATATTTCGTTATAGTAGGCGTAGGCGTAAGGATTAGGAGTTATTTGTCATTATACTTTTCAGAAGTTTAGTTGTCATTATGACTATTTATTTCTTTTAGAATTCTTTTAGGATTTGTGATCTCCCTATATATATATATATATGAGAGATATGTTATTTGTTTTGGTAAACTTTGATTATTGATTATTGATATTGAATTTTCTTTCTAAAATTCTCTCTATTCTCATCTCCTTTTTCTTATTTTTTTCATCCATTTTTTCTTCCCTTCTCATCTCTAATTCTTTCCTAACACGATCTATGTCAATTTGGTATCAGAGCCTAATTTCGATTTGGATAAATCAAAAAAAATCTCAACAACGCCAGTCATCGGAAAAACAAAAAATTGTTCGCGCGAAATCACTGTTCATCAGCACTATTCACCGACTGTCCAAGTAAAAAAAAAAAACTTTGGCAGATTCTTACTTTTCATCATTCCTGTTCCTCTTCTAGGAAAAAAAAAAATTATTGTGCGCACTTTTCATCGCGCACTGTTCTGGTCTCGTTCCATAAAAAAAAATCGATAAAAAAAAAAATTCATCGTGCGCGTTCATCACGCACTGTTTTCGTTGTTGACCTGCTTCGACTTCATTGCTGCCCATCTTTTTCCTCGTTCCATCGTGTTAAGAAAGAAGACATTGGTTTTAACCCTTTCACTCCCATAAAGCTCCAGAATTATAGGAACCTCTCCAGAAGTTCTCACAAATTATAGAATCACCCAAAAGTTCTAGTAAATTACAGAAGTATCATCCAGAAATTTCAGTATTGTAGAAACGTCCCAACAGGTTCAAAAAATTATAGAAATATCACTCCAGAATTTTCAAAAATTATAGAAATACCCTAGAAATTTCTACACTTTGTAGGATCATCCCCTAACTTGTCAAACATCCTCTTGGAGTTGCATCTAACACTAAGTTTGAAACTTTGCAAGACAAATTTATCAACCATGTGAAAATCACGTTTGTGCACGAAGCAAAGACTGGTACAAGTTAGGAAACTCTACTTAGTTGAACTACTGGTCGAAACAGGAAATAAGTGATGGGTGTGAATGATAATCTATGCATCGAACATCAAATTTTACGTAAAAAAAAACATATATCACCACTATGAATGCGAAATACTAGTATGACATCGAAGGTTGTTAAAATTAAGAAGCTATAATTGGTTAAACTTGTGTTTGAAATGTAACACCCCAAAACACACCCTGAACGACATTACATTCTAAAATCATTTATATCATGAGAACACTAATATAATCCCTAAAGAAACAAGACTTCATTTGTCATCCACGAATATTTACAACATTACCCAAAAGAATAAGCCCAAGTCATGGATATTACATCTCAAAAATTAATTAAAGAAGTGCAACGAAATAAACAAAAGAAGCTAGACTACACAATGTTCCAAAAGAATGTCTTAGTCTAGTACAAAAGGAAAGGAGGTCGCTCTATGCGTCTACCTCGGGATCCACACTCCCGTCTAGTGGAGTCTCCTAAGTAGCGGGCTCCTCGACCCTTAAGTCCTCCTCCTCAAGCGGGTAATCTGAAAAATGTTAGCGATAGAGGGTGAGCACGAAGCTCTATAGAAAAACTCTCTCAAAACCATACAAGGTTTAGAAAAATATTTAAAACGGTGGGTCTCAATTTTAACATAACATAGATACATAATTTGAAATAAAGCAGTGACATTTAAAAAGGATCTTAAGTTTATTTAAAAACATTACTTAAATGAATAAACAAACACCACATACAAATAATAACCATTAATTGCCATAACCAATTTCTAACAATTCTTTCGGTAAGTGACATACTTTGGGGTAACCTCCACCCCCCTTTAGGCCACCTTTGATTCTCAAACATTCTTACCGAGAACCTCTTGAGAATGGATGAACATTCTTACATGAAACCTCTCACCAATCACTACATTGTTTTCCAAGCATCCTTACCGGGAACCACTTGGGAAGGGGTGAGCATCTTTACAAGGAACCTCTCACTCATGTGCATTACAAACAACCCAACCAAGCATACAATTCAAACATTTATCTTAATTTACAAGTATCTATTCAAAATCCCGATAATATATCATGTAACAATTCCACAACCAACTAAGAAAATACATGAGATCACAATAACATCATTTTTCTACCAAACACAAAGCACAAAGGTTTCAAAATCCATAATAAAGAAAGCATTTAGGAAAGAAATACATCACTCTCCAAAAATTAGGGTTTTAAAACTAGAAAGGAGATTTCATGGGTATTAAACCCTACTTTGTTCAAAACATGTAATCCTTGTAAAAAAGCCTAAAATAGGATGATTCCATAGCATATATATATACCATTGATAGCCAAAGCATATATATATAAATACCCTAGCCTCAATGTAAGTGAATGAGAGAAAATCCCTACCTTGAATCCTTAGTTTGTAGGAAGAACTTGAGTTTTGATCTTAAATCTACCTTTAAATCTCTTGTTTTCCATTTCTTTCTTCCTCTCTAATGCTATATAGGGTTCCAAGAGGTGTGGGGTGAGATTGGAGTGAAAGAAATCAGGGAAAATGGGATGAAAATGGAGTTTAAAACACCTCAGCCCCAAAATTCACCGTTCACAGCCTGTTTTGATTTTCTCCAAAATTACTGTTTTACCACTAAGAATCTCCAATTTGATCCACATGACTATCCTAAGGTTTTCGACGTTCTGAATTCATTTTAATGTTATTTTAACCTAAAAAAATTTATTTTTATAATTTATCTCAAAACCAAAGTCAACGTACACCCGAAACACTAAAATTTCTATTTTACCCATCCGAAACGGCAATTATTGAAGTTTTGCATTGTTTGCAAATAAAAGGTGATAAATGGTGATTCTTAAAGCCTTTTATACTTCTTTGAAGCCTAAAATATTCATTATTCTTATAATTTGATTTAGGATGCAAATTGAGACATTAAACGCAAAACA